AATGTATGCAATCAATCATAAAATAAAACAAAACATCTATTCACTACAGATTGTTATTTATTTGTAGTTGTTAAAACTGCAGAAAACTGGTACTTAGAACAAGGGGAAAGTGAGATTAGCACAATACAAAGAAGTAGACACACACAAAAATGGTAAGAGCAGATTTTACTCACTTTCTGACACATGACGACCATTTAAAACAAATACACTCAATTCAACATAAATTTTACTGATATTTTGATGACTAGTCAATGAATATTATTCATGGTAAAAATAGAAAAAATACAGAACCGAAAAATTGAAACAAAACACATCTTGTATGTTATACATTGAAAGTAGTTTACTGAATTATTTAATTGATTAATTACGCTTGTTACCCCTTATGGAAGAGCATAGAACACCCACCAGAATTCCCCATCTAACTCTGTCCAGTTCATTTCATTTTCATGTCTGCTTCCAATCATCGACACAGTGTGTTCTTTGATCTTCTTCCCTTCACGATATCAAATTAGTACTTGGTTCGTGATGCTGTTTGGTGATTTGCTCAATGTGTATCCTATCCACTTCCAACGTCTTCTCTTAATTTCCTCTTCAACTACAAACTAGTTTGTTCTCTCTCAAAGTTGATTGTTACTAATGGTATTCGGCTAACAGACGTAATTTACACTAAATTAATGCAAATAATTTTATACTAAAGGAAAATCAAACTGAATTACCAAATGATCTTGTGTTTTATTGAATCTTAAAAGTAATACAATTTAAATTTAGACTATTTTTATTGTTCCCATAACATTACAATGTCCTACTCCAAACGACTTAGTCTTGAAATCGCTTTGGTATACATAAAGTGTACTCAATTTAAAATTTTCCTCAGTTTTGTAACACCTCATAATGATCAGTTTCATTTGCTTATCTATTACTATATATAAGTTAATAAACATCAGTATTTTTCAATGTAATTGAACAATTATTTACACATGAATTTGATTAAAACGATAAATAACTTATATTTTAAATAAGTATGCAATTATAATCAGAGAGAGGATATCGTGGCGGGATCGTCAATGCACACTGATGAGGAGTCCCACAATAGGATGAAACAGTCGTCCAATGCTTCCAGGTTTTTCATAGTGATCTATCTTCAATTAACTCATGAATTCAACTATTAAAAAACTATGAATAATTAGTACTGATCACTTGAACTTATGAATCCCACGATCCAAAGTTGGAAAATGAAAATATCAAGTGGACATAGATCCTGGGTACGAAACTCGCGGGGGGGCGAGATCGTGGATGCGCACTACTGAGGAGTCCCACAATAGGACGAAACGGCCGTCCAGTGCTTTTAGGTTTTCCATAGTGGTCTAGCTTCAATTAACTCATGATCTCAACCATCGAAATTACTATAATATCCACAAAAACCTCTTTTTAAGACAAATTTATTTAACAACCAAACTAAAATAAAATGGATATCTGAACATATCAATTTTTATGTGATTTTTAACCACGTTGGGCAGTAGTCAGATTTACTTGAGTTAAAGTGAATGGTATCCAAGATTAATTAATTAAGAATTTACTGTCTGAATATAAAATTACATTATCATAAGATTAATCTTAATTCTCAAAATGTAATTAATATATCATAAAGCAATTAGCCCCTTTGATAAATTTCAATAGTGTAATAAGAAGACGAAGATTATCAGAACTATGTGATGATATATTAGAGCAATACGTTCCGAACAATCTGGTCACACATATACTTGTTAAGAGCATTTATATATACATAAAAATATAGGGTCAACTAGGTTAGAAACGGAGGGTAAGAGGAGACCAGGATAATAAAGAAAATAATGTGAAAACAATTTGTAACCTCATCACTCTGGATAATAAGCTAATATTCTCATCTTAAACCTATCCTGGTAATATCTGCTTGTTAGCCATAGTGATGAAGTTTCAAATTGTTTTCACATTATTTTCTTTATTATCCTGGTCTCCTCTTACCCTCCGTTTCTAACCTAGTAGACCTTTTATTTTTATATATAAATGTTTTTAACAAGTATGTGTGTGATTAGATTGTTCGACATGTACTGCACTAATAAATATCACATTAGTTCTGATAATCTTCGTCTTATTATATCATAGACAATTAGGATAAAATTGATTTCATATATCACTTATACTATAATCAATTAAGTCTCTGCACATTCTTATCTATTACTGATTTGATATTTCCATACAAAAATGAAAATAGTTTATTTCAATCCATTTAATTGTTAGTCTTTTAGAATACGCTCAAATGAAATAATCTATGTAAATTCTAATTGATCTATATTGAATTCACATGGTGTTGTTTGTTTGTATCTTCCCATTGTTGTTTAGGTCTGCAATTGATCAGTCTCTTATTGGCATATGTGCATCCTGTACGGAATGCCTCAATATAGCCTTAATTTACAAGTATTATAAACAAAGATGGATGGTGGCTAACAGTGAAATCCAGGACGCGTGTTTCGTCCTATTTGAGACTCGTCAGCTAGATGTTACTGCATCCAAGAGTTGATGTTCATTCCCAAACTCAATCTTGGTTGGTTTCTATTAAAATCCAAAATTCAAACATTTGATATTATTTGTGATGATATAAATTCTATTTTAAATTGAACTAGAAAATATTTAAATAAATTCACATTGAGGAAAATTAGTACAACACATTTAAGCTCACATGTTTTGTTTAAATTAAATTATAAATAATTGTTTTTGTGTTTCAAGTTATGATCGATTTGTGGTGAGATTATAATTTATGGAAGGTCTCTGAGTGACACTTAAGGTGAAATTGAGAATGTTCACCTACTCACTAGATCTAATTCAAGGTTACAAAACAAGTGTGATGAATTACAATTAAGATTTACAATGGCTGGTTATGTTCAGGAATTAGATTTCGTGGATTTCATCACCAACTGACATCAGATAAAATGTCGAAACACTCTCTAACCAAATGTATAAATGAATCTCTCACTAAAATCCAAAATATCTTATCCTCTTCTAGAGCTACCTGAACAGGAAATCGGGTTACAGTTGGTCTTAGTGACGTGAGAGCGTGACCGCAGTGCTTAAGGGAAAACTTCTTGATACCGGTCACACACAACCATTTTGTGGGTGAATTTTGTGTTAGCTTCGTACTTGTTGAGAACTGATAGTCCAGCTAACGGACATCCGTGAGATAATGTGAGGTGTGCATCATTAGGGTCAACCTATTCTAATCTCACCTTTTTTTGTGGGAGTGCAGCATGGCTGTCATGCTGGTTGTGTGAAGGGAGAACCTTACTACCGTCACAGTGGAGGCCCGTTATTTATTCGCCATTTAAATCGAACGATGTTGTCGAAAGAGCTCTCCACTTTAGTGGCCTGAGATCTGACTCCATGTAGATCGTATGGATGATCGCTGTCGAAATATATATATCGCCTACCCTCGTATGTAATCATCGACTTAAATCGTGTTGGTCAATAACGAAATTATATAAGTCAAATAACGAGAATGGACTTTTGAATACATATATTTTGTATATGAAGCGAATGGAATAGAGAGAAGCGAAACGACGCGCAGTGGAGATGGCGGTTAAGCCAACTCCCCTTTTAACCAAGCGTTAATCAATATTAATAGCTATGTAGTGTCAGTTATTATGTTAAGCCCATATAACTTATTCTAGCTTTCGGACATCCCATTTTATTCATTCTACTAGAGCCATTCTACTTTGACCTTGTTATTTATTTGCTTATCAATCTTGACTGTATTTATATGAGCGTATATGTGCGTGCCCTTCTTATCCCATTAATCACATGTCTGTAGCTTTATTTTGTCTGACTATAAATATTGAGTAACGCTTGACTGAAATGGAGTTGGCTTCTCAGCCATTTTCCCTGCGTGTCATTTTGCTTTGCTCTGTTTCATTCGCTTCATATACAAAATATATGTATGCACAGGTCAATTCTCGTCATTTGACTTATTTAATTACGTTATTGACTAACGCGATTTAAGTCGACGATGATATACGAGAAAAGGCGATAACAATCATTTATACGATCAAAATTGGAGTCAAATCCACGGGTCACTAAATTGATGAGCCCTTTGACGAACATCGTCCGATCAAAATGACGGCAAACAAAAAGGGCCCCACTAAAGTTACACAAAAGTAAGTTACAGACATGTGATGAGTAATGGGATAAGAAATGTACACACACCTGCGCGCTCATATAAAAACAGTCAAGACTGATAAGCGAATAATTAACAAGGTCAGAATGTGACTCAAGTAGAATGAATAGATTGGGTTGTCCGAAAGCTAGAATTAGGCACACGGGCTTAACATAATAACCGACACTACATCGCACCTCTGTACAGTCAGAATTACTACTTCACCCTTAAACCTTGTGTTCGCTCCTCTTAGTCACACGTTCTTCAGCCGACCTGTCTAACACGGAATTACCTTGAGGAACGATTGTTGCAGTCAGTTTAGCTCGGTTGGTTCACCAAGACAGGCAGGCCTGATCACTACGTCAAGATAGAAGTGGCGGTTGTGACCTGTTATCGTAAATCTGATTGGTTCTTCCATAATTTATAGTCATGCCGAATTCCATTCACAATTATTTTTAAAAGACTGAATTTATTAAATAAAGACAAATATCAGTACCTTAATATATAATTCATAACCTACTCACTAAGATTTACCTTAATAGCATTAGCTAGGCATTTAATTTATCAGCCAAGAAATGGTACATGTACATGATACTGCCCATCAACCCAATTATTAATAAACAATATGCAATGCTATATGTGCACCAATTTAAACATCGGTAACAGAAATGAAATAAAATTCGGACACAAAAAGAAATTTCCAAAATTAATTATATATCAGTAATAACAAAGTTACGGTCAGTTTTCATTAATCCATATTAAAGTAAACAAATTTTGAAACGCTGATTGGTTCAATGTGAATCATTTTAAAGGTTACAATTAATTGATCCAAAGCATGGATACATACTTATATATTTTAACATATTATCTTAAACTAGTACATACAATATTGGTAAATGTCTGAAACCACTGGTACATGTTATAAATCATGTTGTATTTCAAAACGATTAGATGGGAAGTTAGCTATTGTCACTGGATCGAACACTGGTATCGGATTAGTGACAGCTGGTGAATTAGCTCGTCGTGGTGCTCGTGTGATCATGGCATGTCGAAATATAGGTAAAGCTGAAGATGCCAAAAATAATTTATTGGAGAAATACGGTGCCAATAATCCACAGAGTGTGAACATTGATGTAGCATGTAAACAAGTGATCTCATCGTTGAGTCCAATCTACAGTGATCAAGTAAGTTCATTATTTACAGAATTAAACTGAATATGTTGTCTAGCTTTAGCTATTGGTTTATGTTATTATTTGTCATCTATATGCGATAAATCAAGTGATAGGTCTAATACTAATAACCAATATGCTTCTCATTCAAATCCAACCGTGAATGAGGTTTTCTTTCACGTTAGTTATTTTTCACTCTGTAATCATAAAACTATCAAGTTAGTCCTGTTATAAAAATATCATTTTCAAATCTAAAATCCAAAATAACCCTGAAATATTGAAGTTGTGAAATCGACATTCAGAACTATTTCAGTGGAAGTTTAATCCACAGATAAAATATAAGAAGCCGTGACCAGTAGAGTTCAATCATGTCGGGTGTGAACCAGTCATTCACCTCAGGTAACAGCTGAGGATTCAAATGAAGTCAGACATTGATTTAACGGATGATTGGAATATTTTCCTCTTTCTCAAGTATACTACGTTAATACGATAACGAGACTAACCATGTCACATCATATCCAGAATTCACGACCCGGAATAAAGAGCCAGAGTATAGACTAGATAATACTTCCTTCAACAGAATTACAAGTAGCCAGTCTCAGTGAGTCCGGAGTAGACATCAATGTGAGAAAAGGAAATTATAATATTTAGTAGTCCGTAGGTTGTGTTTGTTTGTCCACGCCCAGTGACCAATCATATTTTACTTTCACTACCACACATCAGACATATATAACATTGATGCCAGCTCGATGATCCAGACATTAGAGGTTCACGCACAATGCAAAACGCCTTAGCTTCTGTTCCAAGATGAGGGTTCGTGATTGCTCACAGATGACGAGTCCCATATTAGGACAAAACGGTCATTCAGTGTTTACAGGTTTTCAATGATAGTCTAATTTAGATCAAATTAGTGATCTCAATCAACTAATACACTCTCCACGAACTCTTACTGACGACTACTATCTGATACTTAGGAGGTACTAGAAGTATAATACGGCATAAATAGATTATTATTATTATCTTTAATGAATATTAAGAAATATTATCAATATTTTGTAATCTAAACTTGCACATTTTATTGACATTGATTAATTCGAATACACCTCACTTATTGCAATGCTCCCACTACAAATCCAGCTTAATTACCATAGTAATTAATTAGATATTTTGTTGTACCTCATTACTTTTATTAGAAATGTGAGATATTTTTAAGAAAATCTTGGCTAAAATTAGAATGTAACAAATGCCATACAAATATTTTCTTCTTTCATTCTGACTAAGATTCAGATCTTTCTAGTTACAGTGAATCATCTATGGTGGTTGGTATTAAATATAATCCTTAAACTTCGTCTACAGTTCGTCCTGATAACCGTCACTAGATAACGTCCGAACGGTGTATTAATCAGAAGGTGAATACGAAGTGTTGATTACGTTTATAACTGTACCACATACAGATAACCAAAATTATAGGTACACTAAACAAGCATGAAAGAGTAGTGCCAAAAAGCAAGCCGGCAAGCGAGTGACTGCGCGAGTCGAATGAGCGAGTCGGTGAGTCAATGAACAGGATTAAAATGCACCTATATATACATAGTGAAATGAATGAATCATCGAATCAATTAAACGACTAACATTAACGCTAGCAGAATTAATATATGTGTAGGCAGTAAGCAATGCTCAAGCATATATATTCATACAAGCGCGACAATCATAAAGGTACAAAATGATATAATATAAGTTATTATTGTACGAATGACTCGATTCGTTAAGTTAACAAAAGAAATTAACCAATTAAACGTGAACAAACTCAATTTCACATAAGCTACTATACATCTATGAATTTGTCAGTATAGTATGAAATTTTCATAGCCAAAATATCACTAACTTTTAAGATGAATATCAATAGTTGAAATATAATGTCAAGCTTAGTGATTGTATTAGAAAATTTTTGAACATAATACAAAATTACCAATGTGTAGTTACTTACTTACTTACGCCTGTTACTCCCAATGGAGCATAGGCCGCCGACCAGCATTCTCCAACCCACTCTGTCTTGGGCCTTCTTTTCTAGTTCCATCCAATTCTTGTTCATTTTTCTCATGTCTATCGCCGTTTCCCGGTGTAATGTGTTCCTTGGACTTCCTCTCCTCCCTTGGCATTGAAGGTCCCATGTGAGGGCTTGCCGTGTGACACAGTTGGGTGATTTCCTCAATGTGTGTCCTATCCAATTCCAGCGCTTCCTCCTGATTTCTTCCTCCACTGGGATCTGGTTTGTTCTCTCCCACAATTGGTTGTCGCTAATAGTGTCCGGCCAACGCATCCGAAGTATTTTGTGTAGACAACTGTTAATAAACACCTGTATCTTCTGGATGATGGCTTTCGTAGTTCTCCAGGTTTCCGCCCCAGTAGACAGTAGAACTGTTTTGACATTTGTATTGAAAATCCTAACTTTGGTGTTGGTTGACAGTTGTTTTGAGTTCCAGATGTTCCTCAGTTGTAAATATGCTGCTCTTGCTTTGCCGATCCGCGCCTTCACTTCTGCATCAGATCCACCCTGTTCATCAATGATGCTTCCCAGGTTTGTAAAGGTTTTTACATCTTCCAAATCTTCTCCGTCAATTGTGATTGGACTGGTGCATGCAGTGTTCTATCGGAGAATCTTGCTTTTTCTTTTGTGTATATTGAGACCTACTGCTGCCGAGGCTGATGCCACACTGTTCGTCTTCTCCTTCCTTTGTTGTTGCGTGTGCGATAGAAGAACCAGATCATCTGAGAAGTCTAGATCATCCAACTGCATCCTATCTGTCTATTGTAGCCCATGCTTCCCTTCAGATGTTGACGTCTTCATGATCCAATCGGTCACCAGGAGAAAGAGAAAGGGTGAGAGTAAGCAACCTTGCCTAACACCGGTCCTTACTTCGAACGGGTTTTTCAACTGTCCTCCACGCACAATTTTGCAGTTTAATCCATCATATGAATTCTGTATGATATTGACTATCTTCTGAGGCACGCTGTAGTGTCGAAGACGCTTCCATAGTGTTGTTCTGTTCACGCTATCAAATGCTTTCTCGTAGTCAATGAAGTTGATGTAGAGTGATGAATAGACCAGCTCCATTGAGTTCATCGGACATCGAAGCTGCACACACAGATTTGGAGGCAGGAACAAGTGCCGATGGACTGGAAAGAAGGACACCTCATCAAGATTCCAAAGAAAGGAGATTCGAGTAAATGTGAAAACTACAGAGGCATAACACTACTGTCAATACCAGGGAAAGTCCTCAACAGAGTTTTGCTGAACCGGATGAAGGATGCAGTAGACGCCCAACTTCGAGATCAATAAGCTGGATTTCGTAAGGATCGGTCGTGCACAGACCAACCAATATCAAAGTCATGATTTTCAATACGAGGGTCAAGACAGTTCTGCTGTACGGAACTGAAACTTGGAGAACTACAACAACCACCATCAAGAAGGTACAAGTATTCATAAATAGTTGTATACGCTAGATACTCAACATCCATTGGTCGGATACCATCAGCAATAGCCTACCGTGGGAGAAAACAAACCAACTTCCAGCTGAAGCGGAAATCAGGAAAAGACGATGGAAATGGATAGGACATACATTACATAAATCATCAAACTGCATCACGAGGCAAGCCCTAACTTGGAATCGTGAAGTGAAGCGGAAAAGAGGAAGGCCAAAGAACGCATTACGTCGGGAAATAGAAGCAGTTATGAAAAGGATGAATAATAGCCGAAACGAGCTGGTAAGGATTTCCCAGAACAGGGTCGGATGGAAAGTGCTGGTGGGCGGCCTATGATCCACCATGAGGAGTAACAGGCGTAAGTATGTCAAACTCATTAGAAAAAAACAACTTTCTAATGTGTAAAGAAATCAATAAGGTGGCTAGTTCCTACCAGCGGGATTTACCAGGACATTGTAAATGCGAGATATTTTTCTCCGATTGGTCTTATTTAATTGATGAATTATAATTTATAATTATGGGATTGACAGATTACATAATATCTTCTAACAGAATTACTAATTTTTTTAAAATTATGAATTAGTTAAGATGTGAACTCTGTCTTTTTGATAGTTTACATTATGGATTGAGTTTATTTAGAAAACCATAGAGCATTGGTCAGTTGTGTTATAACTTAAGGGTGTTGTGCCCTATTGATATATAATGTAATAATAACTCCAATTATCGACCGGACCAATGACGCTAAACCCGTACGAACAGTCTAATGTACTTATCGGTCCTTCTTCCTGCCTAGCTTTGCCTGTTAAGTCCAGAACACTAATCCCAGTCTCCGCAATATGAATCATATATTTCAAACAGACTAGTTTTATATACAAACCATAAAATAGAAAATAACATTTGTACAAGAATTAGCTAGATGTGGCTGTGAATGAGGGAGGTAGTAATTAATATACTGCATATAACTCAAGAACGGTAAATCTTACAATAAGTCTATGGGTCAAAATAAACCTTATGATAAGATGAACATTAATATGCATAGTTTAGCTACTTAACAATTATACAGTAAAAATATATGTATCGTACTGATCCATAAATAATTCTCAAAAGCTATCACTCAGAATTCTCGTTGAGATATAACAGTTGTTATGTTAAATTATCCAGATTAATAAGTTGCACAAAAATCCTTACCAACTGGAAGCGTGTCAATATAACAGTGACTGACTTATTATCTAATAATTCACATTTCTTGATTCAGTCAATTGGCTATTATTCACTGATACTAATGATACATATTTTACAAATGACATGATAATTAAACTTCACTGGTCATTAAGTCTTTTCATAACTTCAATAATTAGTTAAGGCTAGACATCAACACCGTTAGATGCCGGCTCAGTGGTCTAGAGGTTAAGCGTTCACGCGCGAGACCGAAGGTCCTAGGCTCGAGTCCCAGGTGCAAGATCGTTGATGTGCACTGCACTAATAACACCTTTTAAAAAAAATGGTTTGTGAACTTCTATTCATTGAACGAAATGATGTTACATGGAAAGTGTATATCCGAACGAAAATAAATAAATGGTAACCGTTAGTAATTATTTATGGACTAATATTATACGAATATTCTTATTCTATAACTATTAAGTAACTATATTATATGCATATTCATATTCCTTTCATTATAAGCTTTTATTTGGCCTACTGATTATTATCATACTATTTACTATTCTTGAGATATTCCCAATTTATTAGTAACAATCACAATCACGGCCACTTTTTGGTTTGATCTTGTACAAGTGTTATTTTCTATTTTATGATATGATGTGATCTAGTTTTGCTTGTATATAAATCAACTATGTATGAAATATATGATTCGTATCACGGAGGCTGAGACTGGCGTTCTGAACTTAAGAAGCAGAAGGCTAGGCGGGAAAAATACCCATCGGAACTCGAGACTGCCCGTACTGTTGTGTGTGTGTGTCATTAGTTTGGTCATGTTATTCAGTTTATCTAAAATGGCAATCGTATTTCGCGATAATCGTAAAGCCAAGGTCATAACACAAAAATTATTTAAATCTGTTTAAGATATATTAATTACTTAAACAACTTTATTGTATTGAAACTGTTTTATTTTAGTTTATATTTTATAGTACTCATTATCATTGCATTCAATTTTGAATTCACCTTTCAGCTCATCATTGAACAACTTGATTTGGCTTCTCTACAATCAATCAGAGAATTTGCCAGACGTATAATAATCACATATCCAGAACTTCATTTTCTTATTAACAATGCCGGTCTTACAGTTGGTAAATATGAGAAAACTGTTGATGGTTTTGAAATGACAATGGGTGTTAATCATTTTGGAACATTCCTACTAACGGAATTATTATTACCTTTGATAAAACGTTCAACTCCATCTAAAATCATTAATCTATCATCAATGGCACATTATAAAGGTCGTTTAATTAAACCAGATTTACAGTTAAAAGAGAATGAATATAATCAGTTAAATGCATATTGTGATTCAAAGTTAGCCAATGCAATGCATGCTGCTGAATTAGGTGATAGACTTCAGGACAGTGGAATAACTGTTGTTAGTGTACACCCTGGTGCTGTAAAAACTGATCTAGATAGAGATGTAAAAAGTTGTTTAATGGTAAGTGATCCCCTTCTGTAATCATTAATATCCATCGCTTTTTCAGCGGTAACCTAGTTTCTTTTACAGATGTAATTACTAAAACATAAATAGCTTTGAGATTGGAAAAATGTGGAAATCTTAGACAGAGGAAACTCTAAAAACACAAGAGAATTTTTAGAAGCCTGGCACTCAGGTCAATCAGCAATCAACAAGCATATTGAAATCAACCCAATTTACCAACCAATCAGGAAAATCATGCACAAATATAGGAGCAAAAATCAAACCAATAGGAGACACAACCAAAACAAAGAAGTAAACAATGACAAATTTAAGGTCAATAAGAACCAATGAACATCGAGGTGCACAGAACAAGCTGTGAAACATATATGAAGAAATTCGAACACTTCACTTCTATCTGAAGTTTGTGCTGATGATGTCGTTCAGAAGAACGATGAAAGCTCCACGACCAAACCATCCAGCTCAGAGAACAAAACTCCACCAACATCAATAGCTTAATTAAAAAAAACATCTACAGAACTAGGAGAAATCTTGAAATTTAGGATAATGTTGTTTATTTAACCTATCCATCTGTTTGTGAAAAAGATACCCATCATTTCGCTGAGTAACATCAACATTGTCACGATCATACAAAGCAAGCTATAAATGAAATATAAAACCTAAGATAATCTAATAGTTTAGTTATAACGATCCCAAAGTATAACCACCTGAGTACTTATGTAAACGACACAGTACTGAATTCCAATTTCTCAGAAGATTAAATAATTGAAATTTATATTCATTTGATTTTTTTACTTGAATCTTCCCATTGATGTTTAGCACTGCAATTGACCAGTCTCTTATTGCTATATATGCATAATTTGCGTATTACCTCGATATTGCCTTAATTCATACGCATTATAAGCAAAGATGGATAGTGGTTATCGTCTATTTATTGAATTTACATATTGTTTTCAACGGTCTAGAATAGTTGTATTTGATTTGGTCATAATCTATGTAACATATGAAGATGAGGTCGTTTGTCTGAAAAATAAAGCTTTTAAATTAGATTTTTACCATTAAGTTCAATGATATATTAGTTAATACAAAACCAATAATTAGACAAATACTTACGACATAATATAAATATTTAATACATAAAAACTCAGTTTATTCTGAACATTTACTGAATTAAGTTTTATCTTCAGAAGGGGTTTTGTGGAGATTTTAATAATTTCAATAGTTGAAATCATGAGTCAATTGAAGCTAGATCACCATGAAAAACCTGGAGGCATTGGACGGCCATCTCCTCCTAGTATGGGAGTCCTCAGCAGTGCGCATCCACGATCCCGCCCCTGCGAGACTCCAACCCAGGACCTATCAGTCTCGCACGCGAAAGCTTCACCTCTAGACCACTGAGCCGGCATCCAACGGTGCTAATGTCTAACTTCATCCAATCCACGGAATTGCGCCACTGTACAACATTGTCTTCAGTGAGCTGATATTTCACAACAGACCTGGTTGAACTTCACGGGTCACGGCTTCCCACTAGAAGTCCACTAGAGAGCAGATGATTATTATCAAAAGGGGTTTTGTGGAGATCTAAGTAATTTCACTAGTTGAAATCATAAGTTAATTGAAGGTAGACTGAAGACATTGGTGTACAGTAGCTCAATTTCGTGGATTGGTTCAAGTTAGACATTAACACCGCTGGGTGCTAGCTCAGTGGTCTAATGGTTAAGCATTCGCGTGCGTGACTGATAGGTCCTGGGTTCGAGTCTCGCGGGGGCGGGATCGTGGATGCGCACTGCTGAGGACTCCCATACTAGGAGGAGATGGCCGTCCAATGCCTCCAGGTTTTTCATGGTGATCTAGCTTCAATCGACCAATGATTTCAACTATTTAAATTTTATCTATTAACTATGTTTGAATTTTTACATTAAATGAAATGAAGTTGAAATAATATCACACTAGAATATGTTGTTATGCAATTAACCTGAAAGTGAGTAAAACAAAACTTAACATAACATAGATAAATCTTTAATCTCGAAACGATAACTGTACTTGTTAGGTCTGTCGAAGCGTTCAAGTCACCTAATTGAGATACGCACAAAATCGAAATTTACAAGATAGTGATTTGTCTAAAATAACTATTCCTTATTAAATAACATACAAAAATGAGTTACAAACCTCAACTTGTGAGTTGTCTATAGTGTTTACTGAGTCTTTTTGTCTAAAATAAAAAGGCTGCCTATAATAGTAACATAATGAATAATTACAACATACTATAATGCAAATGACAGCTGTTAGTTGTGCTTAAACTTGGTAACAGTTTATCATCAAACAAAAACTGAACCAAGAGCAAACAGTGAAATCGAGGACGCGTGTTTCGTCCTATTTGAGACTCGTCAGCTAGATGTAACTGCATCCAAGAGTTGATGTTCATTCCCAAACTCAATCTTGGTTGGTTTCTATTAAAATCCAAAATTCAAACATTTGATATTATTTGTGATGATATAAATTCTATTTTAAATTGAACTAGAAAATATTTAAATAAATTCACATTGAGGAAAATTAGTACAACACATTTAAGCTCACATGTTTTGTTTAAATTAAATTATAAATAATTGTTTTTGTGTTTCAAGTTATGATCGATTTGTGGTGAGATTATAATTTATGGAAGATCTCTGAGTGACACTTAAGGTGAAATTGAGAATGTTCACCTACTCACTAGATCTAATTCAAGGTTACAAAACAAGTGTGATGAATTACAATTAAGATTTACAATGGATGGTTACGTTCAGGAATTAGATTTCGTGGATTTCATCACCAACTGACATCAGATAAAATGTCGAAACACTCTCTAACCAAATGTATAAATGAATCTCTCACTAAAATCCAAAATATCTTATCCTCTTCTAGAGCTACCTGAACAGGAAATCGGGTTACAGTTGGTCTTAGTGACGTGAGGGCGTGACCGCAGTGCTTAAGGGAAAACTTCTTGATACCGGTCACACACAACCATTTTGTGGGTGAATTTTGTGCTAGCTTCGTACTTGTTGAGAACTGATAGTCCAGCTAACGGACATCCGTGAGATAATGTGAGGTGTGCATCATTAGGGTCAACCTATTCTAATCTCACCCTTCCTTGTGGGAGTGCAGCATGGCTGTCATGCTGGTTGTGTGAAGGGAGAACCTTACTACCGTCACACCTCTGTACGATCAGCATTACTACTTCACTCTTAAAACTTGTGTTTGCTCCTTTTAGTCATATGTTCTTCAACCGACCTGTCTAACACGGAAGGACCTTGATCAATGATTGATGCAGCCAGTATAGCCCGGTTGATTCACCGGGATAGGCAGGCCTGATCATTACGTCAATGTAGGAGTGGTGGTTGTGACTTGTTATTGTAAATCTGATTGATTCTTCCATAAATTTTAGTCTTGTCACACATTTTAATTCATCAAGTGATCATTGAACAAAATATATTTAAACTAATAAAGTCTTAAATCCAAGCACATCCTAACAACTAAATCGATTAGATCTAGCTGATTACTGTATTTTGAATACTGAATACTAACGTTTTCGAATGAGTTATGGATGTAACTCATTTCTATAGTTATTCAATGATCAGCTCTCTTTTATATCAATTCTTCTGAATTCAAACAATTCACACTATCGATGCCTTGATAATCGAAGAAAACTAATGTAAAAAAGAAGGGTGTGACTACAGTCACGAAAAAACCAGCACCGTTAACTCTCAACTGCGAAGATGATGATGTCGCAAGCCCGATCAGCTGGCGGTTTAGTAATGAATTAGCCAAAATATGCACGTCAGTCAAATGATTATTACTGCATAAAACAGCATGTTCAATAACACAAACAAGGGTCGGCAAGCACCCCAAATATGTTATCGACAACTGTGTTTATAAATTTACGAGTACCTGCCATAGCAGTTGAATTGGACGGACAAAAAGGTCATGTCGTAGATATTTTGAACATGTTCCAAAAGCCTTCTTACAAAAGAGAACTACTTTAAACAGCGCTATTACTAAAAATCTCTTGGATATAGGATATCAGGTCGGTACCGTGCAATGTTTCAATGTAATTAATAAACACACAAGCTCCAGTCTTCTAGTTTCCTGAAGCCAGTGCTATCAGGTGTCAGAAACCTGATTTATATGTACCAGAGGAGACAGTTGCTAATCTTTCTATACCTATGTGACAAATATTCCTTTATTACACAATAAAAATTTTGTTCAATTCTTTACTTCAATTAATTACATGATGACATCTCTTTATTTCGACTGTCTTCTAGAACAGTAATTTTACTTTAATTTAATAGTTGACTTCATGAGTCAATTGAAGCTAGATCACCATGAAAAAACCGGAAGCACTGAACAGCCGTTCCATTCTAGTGTGGGACTCCTCAGCAGTGCAGATTCACGATCCCGCCTCACGAAGTATTGGTCTCACGCGTGAACATCTAGACCACTGAGCTGGCACCCAGCGGTGTTAATGTATAGCTTCAAGCGATCCTGGAATTAAATGAGCTTTACTCAAAATATTATTTCTTATTAGCATTTACTCATTACGTAACCACATTTGTGTAGCCCCCTGAACCTTTCCCACAATATTGCTCTATAATATTTCAGTAAATTGATATTCGAATATTTTGAATACATAACTGTAATAATTGATGATAAATATGTATCTTGTTGTATATCTCATTCAGATATAAAAAAAATTATGTTCATTAAGAATTTCCTATTCGATGCTCAATTTATCTCAGATTAATAAGTTCAACCTTGGCGTTGATACTTACAAATTAATTTAACACACGAGATTAATCTTGTTTATATTTTTATCAAAATTCTCTTTCTTAGAAATGTTTCATTAAAGCAATAAAGCCATTCTTTATTGGTCCATGGAAAGGAGCACAAACTACATTGTACACAGTGTTGTCAGACAACATTATCTCTGGTGGTTACTATTCAAATTGTTCATTGAAAGAACCGTTAACAATTGTCAAGAATAAAGATGAAAGAAAATGGTTTTGGAACAAGACATGTGAACTATTAAGAATCGAAAATACAACATAGACAATTGTTACTTTTGACAAAATCAAGAGTTTATTTCACATTTCTAAACTAATGATTTTGTTGGTATTTTCGTTTAAAAGTTGAAAATGCATAAAACAATTTCGATTATTCAGGTGGACATGTTAAGGCTAGTTATGAATGAAACAAATATACACATACATGAATATATAATATGCTTAATTATCTATCAATATCAGTAGTTTCAATAAATATAGATGGAACACTTACTAGTGAATACCAGTGAATGAACCAGGAAGTATCGGTTCATCTGTGGTCTACTCTCTCTCTCTCTCTCCCTCTTTCATTCTACTTAACCAACCAAACCAACAGGAAATGAGTTTTGTAATGCATAAGAATCAAAATGAAATGTGAATGCATCACAGTTTGTTAGATGTTCGACCGTTAACAACTAGTCTTTCATACAAAATCAACATGCCATATTCATTCATCCACTCATTCATAACATGGGCGATGTAATAAATGTTACTACCATCCAATGATTAATCCATGTAGTTTAATTCTCTGACTGATTGTAAATGCGATTTAATGAAAATGTCAAACCACTGTCAGATGAGACTAAGTCACACCGTATTTTCGTTTATTTAATTCACTTACATCAAATGTGAGCGTCTCCTAGTCTGAAGCTGGTCAGCTTACCGAATTGTGAGTAACTGGCATGGACAAATATATACAGGTGATAGAACAAATAGAAGGATTAAACTAATCTATCTGTTCGAATGTTAGAACAAATCACGTAAGCGTGTGATAACAGAGATTTACTATCGAATATTCAACCAATAACTAATCAACGAATGTCAATTCATTTCATAAACAGCCTTATCAGATTGACAGAATGGTTTCATCACAAATAAGACTACGTTGTGAAAACATTCATACAATACATGATTAATCTCCAGTGAATTATTTGTCCACGATCATAACGTTTATTCAATCAAGTGATGGAGATACTAATGAAACCGTCACTTTGTCAGTTACATTTTTATGATCAATATAAAACAAAGTAGTTACTAGAAGATATCTTGAATAACTCGATTATTGCTTGAGATATTGAATATTAGTGAACTTCGGAAGCTCTCATTTATCTTTTAGTGTCAACGTCTTTAGTATTAGTGTAAGGGTTCCGATAGCACAACGGAAGTATAAGTATAAATCTCGCAACCGAAAAATGACGTTTTATACTAAGTATTACATCATGAATCTTCGGCGATGAACAATGATTGAAGTATAGATTATTTTCATTGCATTGGATTCAGACCGTCTATTCTACAATCCATTTTATTTTACGAACTATAGTAGAAATTGAACTTAACATAGTTTAATTAAAAACGATCGATTTGGTCAAAAATATCATGATGTGAACTAATCCAAAAACATTTAGACAAATATTTCTCAGTGTATCAGTTAATATCAATATGCTCGGAAGTTTTGGATAGTCATCTAGAGTGGACCTTGGAGACTGTGTTGTTTGAGATACGTTCATGTTGAAATCATGAGTCTATGAAGTTAAAAAAACTTAATTGCGAAACTAAATTTCATCATTCCTGATCGACGCTGAATGAAGTCAAGTATGTTTTGTCGAGTAAAGCACTCTTCGGAACAGTTTCGCTAGACAACAAATAAGTATAACGTTCCGCAGTGCTTATTTCAGCAGCAGTCAGTCAGTCAGCTACAACGTAGGACCAGGCACATATGTGCATCGGTCCAGGTTGCCATACCGCATCAGCACAACAAGATGAACACCAGATTCATAGCAGTGGTTAGGTCAAAGGTAGTAATATATAAGAGAAAGATTGCATATAGAGATATAGTACAAGAAGAAAGAAAGATATGAAGCGATTTTAAGGTCTTAGTTTAAGGGAAGACAGGGAGTGTATACACCGACGCCATTGTGATCGATTCTGAGCCATGTCACCAAGAGTCTCCAACCATTGGTTACGATAGTCATGCGGACCCCAACCAAGTAGTCTGCATCTACCAACATGGTTCAGACTAGAAGTTAGTGACTTCAAGCACTGATGCCACGTTTTGGTTTGACCGCCTCTAACTTTCTTCCAACCATTTCCAATACCGGATAGCATTGCACGTCGTGGTAATCGGTGTTCAGGCATACACTACACGTGGCCCAACCATCTCAGTCGATGAAGATTCATAACCTCATCAACTGATTTACCATCATTCCCTAATACCCTGCGTCTAACCTCACTATTACTTACCCGGTGATCCCAGCAGACGCCAGCAATATTTCTAAGGCATCTGTGGTCAAATACTAATAGTTTACGAGTGTCTTCTACTCTTAATGGCCATGTTTCGCTGCCGTAAATTAAAACAGAACGGACTGCCGCGCAATTTACTCGTCCTTTTATTGATAAACGGATATCTTGCCTTCGCCATAGGTGACGTAAGTTGGCAAAAGCCAATCGAGCTTTTCGAATCCGTGCTGAGATTTCGTCCAATACCAACCCATTAGGGCTGATCAGACTTCCAAGATAAGTGAAGTTGTCAACGCGTTCGACTACTTCACTCCCTATCCTTAGTTCAGATGTTAACGCAGACCAGTCCTGAAGCAACAACTTGCATTTAGAGGGAGAGAAGCGCATTCCAAACATCCTGGCATTGTTGCTCAGTGCTACCAGAAGACTCTGCATTTTGTCAGCGTCTTCACCAAACAGGACTATGTCATCTGCGTATTCTAAGTCGATTAGTGGACCTCCTGGTAGGAGATCAATACCCGAGAACTCAGTCGACGAGAAAGTTATTTCCATCAGTAGATCTATGATTAAGTTAAACAAAAATGGGGAAAGTGGACAGCCTTGACGGACACCACTTGAGGTTGCAAAAGTAGATGACAGTTCGCCATAAGCTCTTACTCGACTAGTAGTGTTCGAGTAAAGAGCCTTTACAAGGTTTATGTACCTCTGGAGTACGCCTTTCAATGACAGACACTGCCACAGAATCTCGCGGTCTACCGAGTCAAATGCTGCTTTTAAGTCGAGAAAGACCACCATTGTCGGACGCCGATAAGTATGCCTGTGTTCTAGAATCTGACGAATGGTGAATATGTGGTCGATGCAGCCACAACCAGGTCTGAAGCCAGCTTGGTTCTCTCGTGTTTGCAGTTCACGAGTCTTAGTTAGGCGTCTGATAATTATCGAGGCTAGTATTTTAGATATTATATTAGTTAAACTAATCCCTCTGTGGTTGTCACAGGTTGATTTTGACCCTTTCTTATATATTGTGACGATAAGTGATTGTGACCAGTTAGATGGAATAACGTCTAACTCCCAGATTTTAGCTAAAATATTAGTCAACCTAATCGCTAAAATTAGACCACCATCCTTAAAGACCTCTGGAGCCAATCCATCTGGACCAGCTGCCCTTCCTCGTTTCAGATTGACTATAGCCTTTTGAACTTCAGCAAGAGTTGGGGAACCTACTTCAATGTTCCATTCACACTGTCTGGGAATGGAGGGTAGTTGTAGAGTAGCTGAAGGCCAGCTGAACTGTTCTCTGAAATGTTCCGCCCATCGTTCTAAACGCCTGGACTGGGAGCAGATGAGTGTATCATCTTTTTCCGATATAATCTCACTTACACTTGACTTATTAATTCCAGTTTCTTTTATTAGTCTGTAAAGCTGTCTTGTGTTCCCTATAGTCGCCGCCTTTTCCATCTCTTTTGCTTTCGTTGCCCACCACTGCTCACGGTCGTTTCTTAGACTTTTTCTTAACCTAGATCTGACTTGTTGTCGCTCTTCCTCATGTTCGGGACCTGATGGGACGAGTTTGCGAGAATCCATCAGTGTGATAGACTTTAAAGAAATCCACTGGTTCTTTGAAACTCTGTGGTTTAAGTCGCTAATAGATGTCACTGCTGCTTCCACAGCTGCTTGTATATCTTTCCAAGCAACATCTGGGTCATCCTCGTCTTCAGAACTACCTAATCGTGACCTCAGTTGTTCCTGGAACCTACTTTTGGTTTCCTCGCCACTCAGTTCGGTTCTAATGGGTCTTTTTACTGTGGCTTTTTTGCGTCCAGTGAGGCGCAAGCAGATGCGCACCCGTATTAGGGCGTGGTCGGAGTCCAAGCAGGTACTCCAGAATGAGCGACAATCTTGTACCGACCCTCTCCAACGATGACTGATGGCAATATGGTCTATTTGAGTCCATCGTTGGCTTGGTGCAGACGGTCGCCACGTTAGACGATGTCTCTCCTTATGCTTAAAATTTGTGTTTGCTAAAAATAAGCGATTGTCTGAGCACAGTTGCAGCAGACGGTCACCATTATCTGTTCGCTGTGCCGGAATGCTAAAATATCCACCTAAATGCCTTTCTGTTTGGTTTAAGCTACCTATCTGAGCATTAAAGTCACCTGCTACGAGTGCTATGTCTGAGCGTTTAGCTTTCTGAAGAAGTTCGGACAGCTTTCTGTAAAATTCATCTTTCACATCATCTGAGCTGCAGTCAAGACTCGAACCCAGGGCATTCGGTCTCGCGCGCGAACGCTTAACCAACTGGACCACTAAGCCAATTTCAGCATCACATACAAATAGAGAGGGAAACATATACTGTATTGTAAAGTTTCCATCTCAGGTCATTCCCATCTAAGTCGACAGAGGGAAGTAGCGAAACATCCGGTTACTGATTGGACATCACATGTAGATGGCCCAGCAGATCAACACTGTTACCAAGGTCAGTGCACCTGCTTGAACCAACGTTTCGATGGACAACGTGGCACAGACTGAGGCAAACAAGGTAGTGGCACGGCAACAGTGACTTTCTTTTAAATGGGAGACGAGAGTAGTATATGCTAATTCTGTTGACATATATAAGTAGTACGTAACACTCATCCGAAGTGGAATACCTGACAGCAGACGATTATAAGAAGATCGAATTGAAGACAACAGGAATGTAAACTGAGAGTAATTGGTATAACTGCAGGAATGAGGGAACAATGAATTTTGTAAGGGAAACATTTAAAAGGAGATGTACAAATAATCGATTTAATGTAAGGCTTCCACATTTTAACAAGACATTCACGTTTGATTTATGAAGATGTAATTTGTAATACAATTCAAGCTAAACTCACTCAAAAAGTGACTATCAACTTCATTATATTCAAAAATTTGAACAATGAATGTTCAGTTCATCTTAACCAAAATTTGATGCAAAAATTCGTGCTTAATCTTCTAAATCAGGACATGATAAAATATCAGTGAAAACAGTCTAATACTCATCTTGTATTATCGTCAACTAATTGCTTATCGAGTGTAGAACTGAAATCGATTGATGAATCTGGCTACCTAATTAAGTGCTCACACACTCTGTTTCTCTGTTAGCGCCAATCGATCCACACATTGAAATCATATTACCCTTCACATTATTGGAAGAAAATTAACAAATGACAACTTTGAAATCACGTATTTCTTTCTCTACCTTGACACATTATTATAGTCACTTTCAAAGTTTACAACATTCTACATAAGGATAGGTTGTTGAAAATCGACTGGTTAAAGACACGTCTCTCAAATTGTGACACTATTCTGATCTGAACTGAGAATACATCCGAATTTGTAAACATAGTTTCACACATAACGCACGACCAGTATACAATCGGTTCGACAAATGTCTGAGACAATTGGGACTTGGCACAAAGCATGTTGTATTTCGAAACGATTAGATGGGAAGTTAGCCATTGTCACTGGATCGAACACTGGTATCGGATTAGTGACAGCTGGTGAGTTGGCTCGTCGGGGTGCTCGTGTGATCATGGCATGTCGAAATCTACGAAAAGCTGAGGATGCCAAAAGACGTCTATTGGAGAAATACGGTGCCAATAATCCACAGAGTGTGAAAATTGATGTAGCGTGTAAACAAGTGATCTCATCGTTGAGTCCAATCTACAGTGACCAAGTGAGTTCATTGATTTTACAATC